GCCGCCCCGGCTCCCTCGCCCCCCCAGTAACACCTACGGGACGGTAAACCAGCTGGGCTCTCTTCCGAAAAAGCACAGACCTCACTTTTTTTTCCTCCCGTGCAGCAGTGTTTTCTTGGTCATATCTGAAGCTGTGTTGGATGAAATGCCCGTTACTTTATACACTCCCGTCCTTTAAAGTAGGGTCAGCGCCTAGGCTGTTACGCTGACTCTCACGTACCGCGCGCTACTTCTGACTTTTAGCAAAAATGAGCTTGCTCTTCAGTAGTGAAAGGTGATGGCTTACATTAGGACGCCGATTGCTGTTCATGCGTGCTGCTATTTTTCGGAATACTCAGAAATAATTTTTTCATTGTTCCGTAGGGTTTTCCCAATAAAAAACCAGAAAAAATGTTCGATATTAAGGCTTGGGCCGAATACATCGTGGAGTGGGCTGCAAAGGACCCATACGGCTTTCTCACTACAGTGATCTTGGCCCTTACACCGTTGTTCGTAATTAGCGCAGCGCTTTCGTGGAAGCTTGCAAAAATGATTGAGGCCAGGGAGCGAGAGCAAAAGAAGAAACAGAAACGCCAAGAGAATATTGCAAAAGCCAAACGAACAAAGAAGGATTAAATGGGAATCCACTTTTTCAATGAAACACGTGTATGTTTTGTGTTGTATCTGTCCTTTGATACTTGATCCTGCTACTTCTTGAAGTATGAAACTTAATTCCTTCAGTGTATTTTTTCTGCTGAGATGATTTGTGTTAAAATTACCCCAAGTGACACTTGTTACAATCATTTAATCTATTACTTGTGTTCTAGTGCACGTTGCTTTTTTAAATTTGCATGTTAAATTAAAAAATTAATCTGTTGGGTGGCTCTGGAGGTAGATTATTATTTTTTTTTTTTCCCCTTAGCTAAGCTACGACTTAACAAGTGTCTTAAAATTGTCAAATTATGGGGAAAATGTGAATGGCGAACTGGATTACAGAAAGGCAAGGTTTGGTACACAGTCAGCAGAGCTGCAGGGATAAGCTAGCCGCCGAGTTAGGTGGCACACTGTACCCATCCCCTTCGAGGACTCCGCCTGCGGTTCATTCCGCTGTGTGCCTGTGGTGGTGTGCTTGCCTGCACAAAGACCCTGACTTTGCTTTTCCTGCTCCCTGAGCTACCGGCCTTTAATTTCAGCCCAAACTCTAGGAAACTGAGCGCTTGTTCCTATGACCTTCGTTTGTCTTGAGCCGCTCATGTTCTACAAAATGCACTCCTGTGGTGTTTGGCTTTCTCTGACGATCAACAGAATGCTCCTCCTGTAACTGATTTGTTTCTGCCTTTGGAAACTTTTTATGCCTCAAGGAAGAGCCATAAATGGGGTGACACCAAAGGCCCCGGTGTCCCGTGGTGTCCTAGTGACCTCGGAGCAAGCTGGCTGGCGGAGAGCGTGGGAGGGGGACGCGCACGCTGGTGACAGTAATTCCTGCTTGCGAGCCACCTCGCTAACTTTGGTTTAGGACCTTCTGATCTTTGGGATGTTTCTTCTCGCTTTCCTTGAAACTCTGCTGCCTTCCAGGTTGCAAAACGCTGGCATACTGGGAAAAGTCCAAGTGGGGTTTGTGTTGTAAATATGCCAAAATCGCTTAACCTCAATTCCAACTCATGTTTTTCTAAGAGAATTGATTAATTTTTCAAAGCCAAATTTTTATTAATAGTCTGGCTCTAAAAAGCTTGTGGCAGTCATTGGGGTTTTTAGACTTAGCATATTTCTAAACAGCAGCTGGTCCTTCATTAGGTTTAAAATAGGTTTAGTCCTTCATTAGGTTTGAAATAATACCATTGTTCAAATGAGGAGACCTGCAGAGCTGGCTGACACAGAGGGGGATTAGAAGTCGTGAGTCTTCACTAAAATGACTTAAAGTAAACGTGAAGTATTGTTGATCTCTTTTCAGCTTTGTTGTTCAAAGCAAGCATTATTAGAATATGGCATTTTGGCATTTTATAAATACATGGGATTTAAGTCTCCACTGTTTTGTCTCTAAGCATCATCAAGTGTGTATGTGTTCCACCTTTGATACCTACATAGCTTAACACACACAGAGGAGAACTGATGAAGGATGCACTGCATAAATAAATTTGATACTTTTTTCAAAAAATTGTGTGGTGTTTATTTTGATTTGAAGTTCTCAAACATCATCTCCAAGCAAATAATATGCACATTTTATGTATCTAAGCAGTGGCCAAATAGATCTGTATCACTTAGGGAAGTCCCTGCATACATCAGAAATAAAAAAGAATTTTTTTTTTTTTAGTATTGATGACAATCCCTTGATCCAAACCCCAAGTTATTTTCCAGAAACAGAATTCTAAGTGCTTCTAGCCTCTACTACAGTAGGTATATGTAGTTTAACTCAGCCTGATTTTGTCCTGTGCTTACTGCTGGCTGCAAATCATCACTCAAATCTGTTGATTGTTTTGTTAAATCTAAGTGACAAGAATGTCTGTAAGATTAATACAGTGCGTAGTCAGCGTAGTGTCACAGTGACTCCTGTTAATTAAATCAACTTCCCCGTCCACTTGCCAGAGGAAAGCAGGCCAGCACTGCCGAGGGAATTTTACAAGCACTCTGAAGAGCTACCTTAAACTAATGCCTAGGCTTGGGAAAATATAAGTGTACTGGTTAGCTAAAATTTATTACATCAAGAACAATTTTAAATGAGTCTTCAAGGAAAAACCAGAATCATTTAAGAAAATTAAGTTAGCTGGAAAACCTTCTATGTATGATTTCACGAGTAACTGATGAACAGCAACTGCGGAAAACAAACTTACTTAGTAACGCATCCTGTTTTTCACTAAACCCAAACATTTTACAGTAGTTTGTCATGGTCAAGCCTATTTGAACAGTTCTGCAAAAGTAAACGAAACTGCTTGAATACTACTTCATTGCACGCTCACTTACATATAACAGCTGTTTACGTTGTCTGCTAAAATATTTATCCATTAGCAGTACCTGTACATTACAATCATTTATTTGTTGTGACTACTACCACTGCCTGGCGGCATCCAGGAGCCTGGCTGAAAGGTACTCGCAGTGCTTGTTGGGTCTTTCGAAGGCTCTTTCTTCCCATAGTACGGGGCTGATGCGTGGCCTTTAACGTGAGTGTGAACTGGTTCAGCAACAAGTCCCTCCTTGTACTCCTTGGCCTGAAGCAGCTTATCCTTTTCGGATACATCTTTGATTTTCTGTTTCATTTCTTCTCTGTAATTTTCATTCTTGAGAATCTCCTGCGAACACAGTAGAAAGGTGACTGGATAAATCAGAAGTAAACACAATGCACCATGTTGAAATAAAACATTTTAAGCAGTCATTGTTCTTAATTTTATAATCAAAATTTTCAGGCGTGTAGGTAAAATAAAATGTCGCAAAATTAATTGTTTTTCTACAACTGCAATTTCGGCCCTGGTTTAAAATGTTCTTAATGTTTTGATCATGTCAAAGCAAAATTGCATTGTGCTGTCCCAGTTTTGCTATTCTATTGGATCAAAAAGGAAAAGAAGTGACAGTCATCAACAAATGTGAAAATGCATTAAAAGTAAGGCTACCTTTGACATTGTTTTCTATGTAGGACTTGCTAGTATATAGCTATTTATCACTTGCATTTCTTCCTGTAATTCACCATGACTTTAGGTATCTGTGTCCCAGGGTGCAGTTTTGGGAGAAATAGATGTGCAACCGTGACTCTGCTAGTACATAAGCCGAAGCCATGCAAGGTTAATAAATAAAATAATAACAAAATTAAAAAAAAAAAGCTAGGGGCGCACTGAAACTGCTGAGATGGTACTAGTAACTCCAGAGAAACAACAGTGGGGGGTGGAAAAAAAAAAAGCAGAAAAATGACCGAGGGAAACCCTGCCCCAGAGACGCGGAAGACAGCTCGGTAAGGCCAAGGAGCAGCATGGTCCAAGAAGCAAGGGAGGCCAACATGCTCTCAGCTGGTGACTGCTGGGCCAGCAAAGATGAACTGGGTATGGTGATGAGGATGCTAAGCACAACACTGCTTAGGTGAGCTGTTTGTTAAGTCTAGGTATCCATCAGCTGTCTTAGCTAAAATAAATGTACTGCATTCATAAAGGCTGTAAAATCATACCTACTGCCTCTGCACAGGTAAAAATACAAATAAAAATGATCTAGTTTTAGAGGTTTACCTCCACCCCTGATAAACTGAAGCAACTATCTGATGCATGATCCTGCTGCAAGGCCAAAAAGCCCACCCAGGGCGTGCATTGAGAGACGGCTCATACAACTTGGCTGATTCAGCTTCACGAAGCTCTGTACTCAAACATGGCTGGGTACAGGTTAAAGCTGGAAATTCACTAATAAAGATGACTTGAACTGGGATTTGGCTGCTGCCACTGAGAGGTGCTGAGGCTATTAGCTTAAGCAAGTGCAATTACTGGCTTGCCCACAGGTATAATACAAAACAGCTGCTAGTAGCCCTTGCTATATTGTTTGAAGGAAAACACAAAGAACTCCCGAAGTAAACACAAAGAAAAAAGCCCTGAAAAATACTGAAGTTTGGGTTTTATCTGTTAGCACATTTCCTCTCAGAAGGATGATTGGCAAATTCTGCTAACACAACTTCTCTGTGCTTTTGTTAAGGCAGATAGTGAAGAGAAACAAAAAGCAGAAAGGTGATAGGAATTTTTATAACACTTTGAACCCAAATACAACTTAACTGTAATCAACACCATGTCACGAGGAAGCTGCTAATATCCACATTTAGACTGGGATACAGGAGGGAAAAGGCTGAATAGCTTTCTCTGGATTACTAGTGTATGGAAGAGCTAAGGAGAACCTAGACCAGTACACTTCTGAGTAGAAGACCATGACATTATTTTATGAATGACATTGAAATACGTGTGGTATGGCCAAGAGTTGACATAGCAAGTATGTGAACATTTAAGAACATTTTAAAAGACAGTATTTAAAGAAAACCTTATCTTAGAGATACCATGAAAATTAACGCCTCTTCCTGAGTCATTATTTGCCTCTCTAATTAAATTCAGATGCACAGAGTAGAGACAAAACACTTCACATACCTATATAGCATGAAAATACACAAGCAGCACATAAACAACTTCACAAACTGAAGGGCAGGAGGGAGAAGGGGGAGGAAATTCTCCCATAATAAATGAAAATATTGCCAAGCGTAACAAGGTCAAATTTTCAACAGTCAGTATAGCAAGACCTCATTGTAACATCTCTCAATTCCGTCCTTGTTTACCACATGCCTGTATAAATCTACCACGACCTTACTGATTTTAAGGGGATTACTCCTATGGTGCTTGTATTACCCCACTACTAAGAAACAAGGTCATAAACCTTTGTGATGTCTGCAGACTGCATCATAGTCTAAAAACAGTCTAAAACAGCATGAGATGATTTATTAAAATACAAATGTAATTCACTTACTGTGAACAGCTACTTACTAACTTCAAATCTATTCCAGTGATTACTTTAATAAAGTGATCTTAAGTAATAGCAGCTGTAACCCTATTCCAAATGTTCCAAGTCCATTTTAAATGTTGATGTGTAATTGTCAGCTGATTTTCAGACTCAAGTAAGGGTCTTTTAATCAGCTTTCACTGTCCAAAGTATAGTTGCAATCTAGTAAAATAAGCATGTTGATCTTGAAAAAAGCATCAGGAATGATCCTCATTAGCAAACACAAAAACAATCCCCACTGAATTGTTCAGAATCTTCCATACAATCCACACAAGGACAAAAATTTTTCAAGTTCAAAGTATCTGCACATATCAATTTTATGCATTAAATTCACGTCACTAACATGTACATTGAAATCAGGGTTCCTGCGCTCAAACTAAAGAAAATGTGAATCAGGAATCTTGTGTCAATTGGCACATTAGAAAAATTAGGTCAAATAGATGAGTTTTCCTAGCATAAACATCTTGTCCTTTGAAACTGGCAAGTTTGTTCTGTGGATTTCTCTCACCGAGTCCAGCAAATACTTAATTCTCAATTCTCACTAGAACACATACTTCTTTTTTTTTAACATTGTGATAGTATTTTGAAATACTATTGGTTCCATTACCATAGCCACTGCAGTTTGAAGCAGTTAATGAGACTGAAGTTTCCCTGCCATTACAGGCATTTAAATAAAAGATCCAAGTAGTTCTAAATTTTAATAGCATAATCAACTTAGTTCAAAATGCAAATTTGAATGAAACTATTGCATGCATATTTATAGACAGAATTACGCTTAATACACACTAGAAATGTGCAGGATCTTTATAACTAATCTTCCAAATTTGGCTTCAGTTTATCTGCATGGCTCACTGCAATTAAATAGTGAGTGTTAGAAAGGTTCCTCTGCAGCCACTCTCCTGGTTCTGCAGGGCTTCCCATCACCTGCAGAACAGTGGTAGAGAAGCCAACATCTGCTGGGCTCTTCTACCCATGACGGGCAGTCTGTAAATCTGCATGGCACCACAGGCTCTTCCAACGCACCTGCACACAGCTACATTTTCACTTTGAGGCTCTGTTGCTACCCAGCCCTTTACTGTTTGATATACCGTAAACAGTGACTGGGAGATAAAAGTCCTCCTTTTTTGTTTTGTTTTGTTTTTTTTTTTTAAATTACGTTGGCAGGTTCAGAACATTTATCTTCTCTCCTCCTCCAAGATGAACTGGAATATTTTATAAAATGGCTAGCTTCACTATAAACTGCCCCCAAAACATACCATTTAAGTTTTCTGCTGAAATTTAAGAACACAAATGTGTGAGGTGCTCTGACCTTTAGGGGAAATACAAAATCATTCTATCCAACACAGAGAATACTGTATCTACCAGGTAACTGCAGTTTTTGAAGGGTTAGCTTTTTCTTCCAACACTTTTCTTCATACAAATAAATTATATAAGCCCTTTGAACCTGCAGTTCTCAGGAGGCATGTGGCATTGAAAGAGTATCAGAAATGCCCTTCATTGCTTTATTAAAAGAGAAATCTGAGGATTTGGATTGCACTGTAGAACTAAAAAATTAAAAACACCTGAAGACATCCAGTCTTGTTTTATACCGGTTGAAATCCCTACATGTAGATGTTCACCATGAAATGCACCAGCTCCCAGCATTTGGAACAAGATACATACGATGTGGCGAGAACTAGGTCCAACTGCATGTTCTACAGTTTGCTTTTAGGTGGAACGTAAAAGAAGAAATTTTACTCACTGCAGTTAACCACTTGTCCAGCTTTGGTGATTACTGTAAGCTCTATGAGGTTTTTAATCCTAATGATCAGAGCTGCATGCTTTCCCTCCTTAGAAAGGCAGAGTTTAAGAAAGGGATCTCTAAGGTTTTCTTGAAGAACCTATTATTATTAAGGAAATGCCAAAGTGGCCCTATGTGGAGTTTGAGGCAGCCGCTTTTTGTCCAGAAACCGATGACTTCTCCATATTCCGACATCTTAGTAGTGGTAACAGCTGCATGAACAAAGAATGAAAGACGGCCTGCTCATGGGGGCAACGCAGCCCAAGACACATTACTGTCTTCCAGGAGTGTTGCCGCAAGAGGGCTCAGGCTGTATTTCATGTCACCGGCATAAAACTTCCACTTTTCTTGCAAACTACATTTTTGTTTAAAGCTCTCACTTAATGCTGGCAGCTGAGATGTTTCACCAAGCATCCTCTGCTGCCTGGAAAGTGTATTCACCTCTATGCCACGGGAGGAGATAAATCTACAAGTTTGTCTCTAGTTAAAGGACTTCCAGTGCCTACCAGGCTGCACTGGAAGACCTGCTTTGTAGGCTGAAGGTTTGGAATGGGTTCTTTCACCCTTAAAGGATCTCATATTGTCTCTTGCTTTCCCTTTTCTGAATAAACCAGTAGCCTTATGGAATAAATAAAATTAGTCCTTTCTGGCAGGAAAATGTCATAAACACAAAAGAGGTTTCTCTGGACTTGCTTATCCCTGCAGCTGGGCTCTTGCTCAGGAGTGACTAGCCTCTGCTCAACACTTCATGCCAGTCTTCTCCACAGTCAAGTACCTGTACTTAACCCCTTCTATCCTGCAGCACCTCCCAAACCTGTCAACCCAAGGAACTCCTCCTCCACCCCCTTTTACCTCCTTACTCTCAGTCCTCAAGCCAGCCATCGCTTGTAACACCACTTGCCCCTCTCTCATGAAGCATTTTCAACCTCCTGCAGGCAAAGGGGCAACACAAACTTGTGAAAAAGTAGCTCTAGGGATGCAGGTGGCTAGACACACAGT